AAATGAGTTTCTTATTTTGTGAAGATGGCTGTCAAGAACAGTCAGATTATTTTTTATTACTATTCTTTATAACATTAAATAATTAAATCATCATATATGTACCGTGACGCTAACGTAAAAATGTTAATTTCTTGAAGTTTATCTATAACCTAACTTTTCTTCTATTAATATCGGCGGCATTACTTGAAAGCAAATTGCCATTATGTCATTAAACTGGGAAAGTACCAAGTGATCTGCTTGAAAATATATTGATCAGAAATGAAATAGTTCACTAACTAAAAGTATGCTGTTTATAACCGACTTCAAAAAAGGAGGAGGTTCTCAATTATACTTTGTATGTATGTTAACGCGATAACTCTTTGTGATCCGAGTTTAATGATTCTTTTGTCGATACCTCAGTAGTAGTCTCATTTAAATTTGAATTTATTTCACCTCTAAGGGTAGCAAACTAGGGGATGAATGACTTTTGAGGTCGCTTTTTTAACACTCTGTACTGAGATTATTTTATTGACTAATTACGTAATCAATGGAGATACTTTACCGTAAATCTTGTACTAGATGGACTTTATTTTTTTGCACTGCAGCAGATAGGAATTTCACAGTACTTAATTGGTTTTTCATGGATCTCCAAACTTGTTGCAAGCATTATTTGTTTTATGTCCAATGCAAGTAGAGCGAAAAAGATGTACATCGTTTTGCCATGGACATGAAGTTTTTTCTAATGGCCTCAAACAGTACCGATACCGCGCCTGTTAGTGTAGCGAGTTCTTAATAAAGAAAAACTACTAAAACTTTACCTCGGGAGGTAAGTAATTTGTTAATAAAAAAGCGATTTTGCACACTCGAACCTTTAATTAATCAATACACCACTTGAAAAATATACAATAAAGCAAAAAGAAATACCATGAAATTACAAAATGGAGGAAATCACTGCCTATCACGGCGATTAGCACCTGAATAACGTCTGGCACTGCGCATACTACCACCCGGACCTGAAGGTCTGAATAAATCACCATATCTTTTAAGAAATTGGCCACTAGTATCACCTGGAAGGGAACGAATAGCAGCCACAAGTAATTTCTTTTCGTTTGATAGGTACAGAGATACACTAGATCTAAAGATACTCCTTGCAATGTCATTAGCCTTCGAGATTATATTCATCAACTGGTTATCCAAAGGAACATCCTTGAAAAGCAAACTGTCGTCAATTCTTATGAAATCAAATAGTACTGGATTTACACTAGAATTCACTTCTATATATTGAGGATGTATAATATATTCTTCAGCACCTCTTCCGCGAAACTCCACTGAGTAAACTCCGAAAGTCACATTGACATAGTTGAACAGATTTGCTTGTGGCTGTATTGTGTATTCTAGGACTACTTCTTTGCCACTTTTAATAGTCAATACCGTGCCAACTAAATTCTGTAAGCCTTGTTTCGACGACACCACAACAGTGCCTTGACCCATATTGTCGCTAGTTGTTCTCATTATAAACAAAATAGTACATTCCGACATTATTGCACTGTACTTCTTCACAAACTTAGTTCGGTACGGTTGTGGAAGAGAGCGAACGCCGACTACCACATGCCGTCCGTTGTCGGATCCAAAGACAGCACCCTGTATGTTTCCAGAGTATTGATACAACTTTTGCAAGAACGTATATAGAGGATTATTTCCTAGTGCCAAGTTCATTAACCCATATCGCGTCACTAGAAATCTATGTGTAGTCCTGTTTACGCCGAGGTGGGTGATGCCGTCTGGGGAAAGAAGTCTCGCAGGTGCTTCCACGTGAAATATCTTTATTTGAAATCCTTCTCTCATCGGGACTTCGTGGAATGACGGTACTGTTTCGCCTTCCACCAGCCTCTCGTATGTTTTAATGCCAGAATTATCCATCACTTCTACACTAATGTACGGTTTTCCTTTCCAAAAACTATGTGGGCTACTCGAGCTTATATTGACTGTAAGGGTTTGTTTTTCATAATGTGTTTGCAAGTCCCCGACTACAGCATTATATACACCTTGAAATATTAATATTTGATTCAGGAACTTACTATAAGGTGAGCTTTGTAACATGAATTGTAATTCTTGTTCGTTACAGTCTGTAAAATATGAATTTTAGTTAGTTTCATGAAACATGGTAGTATTCGCCTATTTTAAAAATGTGAAGATTATGGGTAGCTGAGGTAGATAGATCGCGTCATAGTCATAGTACGTGGATCTCTTAAAAGTAATTCGAAGGCCCGTTTCTTCAAAAAAGGAACTCAACATTATCCGTAAACTTACCGGAATTCACCCAAGTCGATGTTTCCGCAAAAACCATAAAGAATAGAATCTTAGATGGCCACATGTTCACAAACGTCAATACAATAGATAGGCTAAGGCTTCTCTTTGTGGTTATGATATCAATTTGGGTGAAAACGATCGAACACAACGCGCCGTGATACTTACCTACAAGAATAATTATTCATTGTTTAATTTTATGATAAATAATAATAAAATGTTTCTTTATTTAAGTGTAAACCCATTAGTTACAATACATGACACTTCTATTTAATTTATTAACAGAAAATTATTATTAAAGAATTAATAGTATAAATTAGGAATTACTATAAAATAAAATTGAATTTAAGATACAATTTAGAATTTATTTATGTTTTGCAAACTAAGCCGTCGCTTAAAAAGTAGAGCGTAGTGTGCTCTTACAATAGTATTGGCCGATTTGCTGACTCTGGTAAGAAAAGATCAATGTTTTTTACGAATTATGGCGAAAAAATCATCTACTCTATTCCCGGCAAACGTGGCAGACGCACTAACTGCCAGGGTAGCCGCAGCATTGTAAATCAAATCAAGTTCTTTATTGCGTGTCATGTTGTACAGATGTAATAGTTTATTTATTTATAGTCGCATGTACATAGTCAGGTGTTACAAATGGATTACATGACGACGGGAGTGTAGTACATGACACTTAATAGCACACTTTTCGCAGCAGTAGAGCTCCCTTGTGAAAGAGTTCATCCAGAGTAGTACTGCCTTAACCTTACCTATTTCTGCCGCCAAGCAGTAATGTCAGCATTACTGTGTTCCAGTTTTGCACATGGGACTTGTCAACTTATGTCTCATGGTGACGGATACAGTAACAATGCCCTCAGACCTTTGTGATTTACAACATTGAGTAGCACTGCAACTGTTGTTGACAGGCGTGTCGCTTACCACCAGGCGCACGACTTGTTCGTCTCGTCACTTCGTATTATAAAAAAAAACTCAGAGAAGTGCAAGCCTGGATTAACCCGCGCTTTCTGCTTTAGAGGCGGAAAATAAAACCATTAGGATGCCCTGCATTTTATATAAAAATTAATTGTCGGTTGTTCCGTATGCGTATCAATACGAGGGTCATGCCAAAAGAAATTACATTTTCAAAAATTGAAATTTATTCTTTATTACAGGTATCGATTTTTTCAAAGTGTTCACCAGGAACACGTATACACTTTTCGATTCGTTTAAACCGCTTGGAAAATATCGATGACCACTCTTGTTTAGACATCTCAGAAATCTCGAAGTTATAAGCAGCCAAGTCATCTTTGCGTTCAAACCGTTTGCCTTTTCATTTTTGGAAAGAGGTAAAAATCACAAGGTGCTTGGTCAGGGGAATATGACGGGTGAGGCAGGATTTTTTGGAATGAAAATAGTCGAGTGTTCTAGCAGAAGTGTGCGGAGCGGCGTTGTCGTGATTCCAGAGGAAGTGCTGATTCCTGACACCGGCCGCTTGTCACACCAAGCTGACAACATTTTTGAAAGCAGAAACTGTTATATACCATTCGGAGTTAACTGTCCTTTGATCCTCCAGCACTACAGTAGCAATGTGTCCCGTCATGCAGAAAAATGAGGCGACCATTTGTTTCTGTGTGCTTAGCGTACGTTGGCGTTGGCTCATCTTCAAAGCTCCATAAAGTGGACTGTCGCTTTGTTTCAGGATCATAGTTGTATAACTATGTTTCGTCACCTATCAGTATATTATAAACGTTTTTTTTCTCGCCAGCGTCGAATTTATCTATCATAAATTTGCACCAATCCACGCGACGTTCTTCCTGCTCATCGTTAAGATTGTGCGGAACCCATCTCGAAGAACGCTTATGGAGAGACAGTTGTCCGTGAATAATAGTTTGCAATGCTGTTGATCCAATGCCCAGTTATCGCTCAAGCTCTACATATGTAGTTCGTCGGTTTTCACGAATTTCTTTCTCGACAGCTTGAATGTTTTCTTGAATAACCGCAGTCGGCGACCGACCTGAGTTCGCCTCATCTTCAAACTGCGCCGTCCTTTTTTAAATTCAGCAAACCAATTGAAAACTAAAGCTCGTGAACAAGGAGTATCACCAAAAGTTTTGGCTAAAAATTCAAAACATTTTTGCGGATTTAAACCTTTTTTGTAATTATAATAGAACGTCGAGAGAGCTCCATTGTTGCCAACAAAATTCCCGCCAAATTGTCTCCGAAAAATAAAAAAATAAATAAAAAAGAATTCAATTTGAGACGTGTTCTATTTTCAAATTTATTAGCAAATAACCTGCCTTTACGACGGCGAATAACTAGCCAGTATCAAACAAGTGATTATAGAGTACCTAAGTTCTTTTGGATCATACTCGTATTATTCATCCAATTGCATTTAAAGTGTCGTAAGTTCTTGTGCCCTAGCCCCCAAAAGCTCCTGAAGTATTAAACCATTATAAAAAAATGAGGTGGGCCAGTTGTATCAACAAAATGTCTTCAGCCAAAAAGGCGTGCGCTTCCAGTGACATTGCATCGCAGACTTTCAGCTAATTCCTTTTCTTATTTATACATTCCGTACAAGTAACTTTTAAAAATAAAAGAAAGAAATAATATATTCGTCGCCGTAGACACCGCAATATGCCGTTCCTGATTATATATATAATTAAGAATTTATGTTGCTGTTGATTTGATATTAATAATTATCATACAATATTATGTTATTCCAGTGAACTAAAGAAGCTTTCAGAGGAGAGCTTGACGCTGCAGCCGGAGGAGGTGTTCGATATCATCTGCAAGCTTGGAGAAGGTTCCTATGGCAGCGTTTATAAGGTAAAAACAAGATTATTTCATTTTATTACAACTAGGAACGGTCTTAGTCTAGTGGAAGAACGGATGCTCTCAATTTTGAGGTCCACGGTTCGGATCCCAGTGTGTACCTATGACTTGTTACGTTGTGAATATTTAGATGCACTATATATCGCTTAAGGTAAAGGAGAATATCATGATGAAACCTACACGTCGAGAAAGGTTCACAACCTTTGGAATACGTGTCAAGTTCAGTCCCTCTGCCATGAGTTTACTGTGACAGTTAGTTTCGTTAGCAAACATCGAGTAGGTATATAACCAGAAATAGAGACGAAATGTCATTTAATTTGTTTGAAAACTATTCTGCCATAACATTACGGTGACAACTGCGCTTCGGTTGGCCAGCCCGAATTCGAAATAATTGACGGTTGTCGTCAATTGAAAAATTACATATTTAATATTTAATTAGGTACCTACCTATGAAATTTGATTCCGTTTGTTTTGTAATTAGTTGTTTGCTGTTTTTCCCACACCACCGAATGGAATTGCCCCCATAGTTAGAGATATTATACTACAGAATATTTTTGGAATATTCGGAGACGTACACACAGGTCAGTTGTAGGCACTGTAGTATTTCAGCTTTCTAATTTGTGATTTCAGTGCAAACGAGAATTGGTATTTAAAAGTGATGTAAGACCAATTTGCCTGATGACTTGCCAGGGATTATTTCGTCTCTATTTTCTGGTTATATACTCGATGGTGGCAAATTGTACAGCGTCTCTAGTGGTTACGAGAAGTAGTAACATTTTGTATTCAAAAATTTTACTCTGTCGTTAGCGAGAATTGTCATAGTAAACTTGTTGTAGATGCACTGAACCCGCATTGGGTCAACGTGGCGGACCATGGCTTAAACCCTCTTCTTAGAGAAAACTTGTGCCCATCAATGGGACGTGGGTTGGCTACGGTGATGATGATAATATAGGCTAATGAGGCAACTGTAACAATAATATTAATATCGACTCTGGAAAGGTAAAACGTTTAACGTGCGTTTGGAAAATATTACAGGAGAGAGATTTTCATGAGTAAATAATAAAATTGTTTCTGATTAACGGTGATCCACTGCATAAGAGCCACAAACAACTGTCTTGAGCCGAGATTTAAGATCTAGGACATTGTGTACCGTTTAGGTTCTCAGGTTTCTCTCAGAGAAAAGTTTTAGGAGACTGGTATCATGACTGTGGCATCATAGTACATTTACTCAAATATTTTCTATGCCCGTAAAAATATACATAATTTCAATAAGATAGAAGATATCCATAATAAGTCCAAACTCATGGTACCTCGATTTCGTTTAACGAAGGTAAATGACTTTTTTATAGGGAATTTTATACGTTTTTACAATAAGATTTCGGAGCATATATTAAGATTATCATTTCCTAAGTTTAAAAACAATATTAAAAATATTTTGATTGAAAAGTCATATTACAAAATTGAAGACTACGTGTTAGATAAAAATGTGTGGAAAGACGACATGGCTCTAGATTCCACACAAATTTGATTCAAAGTGTATTCCATAGCATTTAAGTTTATTTGAAAAGAGCAATCCCTAGAGTTTCTTGCTCGTTCTTCTCAGGAAGGTCAGCGTAGTGAAAGTGAGCAGTAGCTTAAATGTGACGTTTTCAGGTGTAAATTTAATTTTACCTATGGCATAAATGATTCTTTGACATTGAATAAACGTGAGAGAAATAAGTGAACTAAATTCGGAACACATCAGTCAGAGCAGTTATGCAACGTGAAAAATCCAGATAGAACCGCCGATGCACTGCATAGGAATCACTAATATATGTTACCCCCAGCTGTTCGCGTGATAAATTCCATCCAAACATTATACATTTATGTCGTATAAAATGTCATGTGATATACGAGCCGTGAGGTAATGATAGTAATCTGTTATGAAATGCATTACTCACCTGATAATCATGGTGAGTGATTATTTTCATAACGTTATAAAGGACAGTGTGAGTTGGATTTATGCCGTTAGAAGGGAGGTTTTCGATTTGAGAAAGTATGATAAATGATAAATATAAAGAGATTATACAAGAATTAAATTGTTGTTTTGTGCTAAATTAACTCGATTACAAGTCTACAAATTGCAAAATCGTTAGTTTTGTGTGTGCAAATGAGTAAGGTGCAACTGACACTGTCTAATGCAATTTTTTCTTTTTAGTTTTTTTTTTCAATGTTTAGAATTAACGTGTAAATTCAGCGTCTGTCTGTAAAGTATTGCGTATATATATTTTTTAAATAATAGACACACGCTTGGCCACAATCTCGTATGATGTTAAACGACGATGTGACCGACAATGGTACGCGTTTGCATAAAAAATACCTTATTCATTCTAGCCTTGAATAACCCCAAATTGTCCTTTTGGGGAAACACATACCGGTAGAGTATTTTTCCTTTTTGACCATTTGACCTATTTGACCATTCCTTTGCCGTACGTATCAGAAAGGAGGAAGCTACGCGAAGGAAGGAGTGTTTCGGACCTTCTAGTCTGCAGAAGGAGGAACGGTGAGAGTGAAACTAAATTGAAAAGTTAGTATTTGCTTTTGCAGCAGGTTTACTGTCATTGACAAACCGCCTGATAAGTGATGCAGTTAAGTCAAATGTGCGTTTTTTTAGAATAATGTGGAGGCAAACTTGATAAAGTGTTAAATAAATGTGCTGATATACATCTTTCTGTCTCTGTTATTTCCAGGCACTACACAAAGAGAGCGGGCAGGTGCTGGCGATTAAGCAGGTACCGGTAGACACAGACCTACAGGAGATCATCAAGGAGATCTCCATCATGCAGCAGTGTGACAGCCCCTACGTCGTCAAGTATTACGGGAGCTACTTTAAGAATACAGACCTCTGGGTAAGTTGCACAAATGCATTATCGACACAAACTGAAACTTACTTAGTGTCACTCTGAGGGTTGTAGACAAACAATTAGACTACAGTAGGGCTAGCACGGCAGGGTGCGACTGGCGCGAGAGCGACATAAGGCGCGAGATACTGCTTTTCTCGCATAGAGATGTCGAGCTAGCCCTACAGTTTTGTAAAAAGAATGCGTGGGCAAGATATCGACACGATGAAGTTAACTACAGTGTACATTGGAGTACTGAGTGGCACTCTGAGGGTTGTAGGTAGGCAATTACGTATAGGTTTGTAAAGAGTGAGATTTATTGTACCTTAGTCGTACGAAAATTGATCAGTTTATTGCGCGATGCAGAATCCAAGTAGCACCATCTAGCGGCGTTCGAACCATACTAAATATGTGCAATCAATTTACTACACTTATTACATTAAACAGAAGACTTAAGCTCATAATTTACCAAAGCGAAACTAATTATTAATCAATATCACACCACGACACAGTCAAAAACTCGAAATATTATTGGTTGTTGAAACACAGATTTTTCTGTTCCGCTGTGGTTTCCAAATACCTTTTGGTGTTTGCGGAATATCTCACCTCTCATAATAAAGTGACAAAAATTAAAGAAGACTAAAAGAAACTGACAAAATATTTTTTTTTAATAACGAACGCGGCGCCTGTTGTATGTATATTCCAAATAAAAACTTTTTTTCAGATGCAAATCGCGTATATTTGTTTCTAACTCGAAACGTTAGTTTGTTTGAAAAAATAGTTTCATGCCCAATGTATAACAATAGCGAAAACCAAATAACTTCATACCAGGCATATGGCTAGGGCCAAGTATGACAAAAATGAATAAAGATACCTATTTATTTTGGTCCGGACTGGACGGTTTTATGCAATTCCCTTGATAATATAATCCAAATATTTCTTGAAACACTTTTTTTACAGATCGTTATGGAATATTGCGGCGCAGGATCAGTATCAGATATAATGCGGCTAAGGAAAAAGACACTCTCTGAAGATGAGATAGCGACCATATTATGTGATACATTGAAAGGGCTAGAGTATCTTCACAGGCTCCGGAAAATACACAGGGATATCAAAGCGGGGAACATATTGCTCAACACGGAAGGTCACGCAAAGTTGGCTGATTTTGGTGTAGCTGGACAGTTAACGGTGAGATAAACTTTTTTGGGAACAAACAATTTATGTTCCAGAACATTCAAAATACCTTTATTTCGTTGGTAAGCAAATTACATTTGAAATAGGCACATTCTTAAGGCCGATTCTCTTGAGAATAATGGGTAAGGAACTCTATAGAATGCACTTTTTTAACACACACACTCAACATAGCCCTGCACTAGGGACACACACATAGACAACCACAAATTACACCCAAACTCACGAGAGAAATAAATGTAGGCCATACAAATATTTCTCCCGGCCCGGGTGTATGAGCTTTGACGTCTTGATTGTAGGTAGTTAAGTTAGTTGTAGTTTGTAGTTAGTTAAGTTATAGAGTTGACGTACAATCGTAAAGTTTATTTTTGTTTAAATACAAGTTATTATATGGATGCTTATGTGACCGATTGCCACAGAGTTATTAAATCAACTAAATTATAATAAAAAGTCAATCAGTCGATTCACGTAAAGTAGGGCGCAAACTCAGCGTCTAAATCTTGTACGTGACCCGTACACCGGGAATCCAACCTGGGACCTCAGCGTGGCAGTCCAGCATGGTAACCGTTTGGCCACGGCGGCAGTTACACATTGTATGTCGTGCCTTTTACTATTACATTAAAAAATAATTGTACAAGTTATAGACTAATAAACAGTACCATACAGTGTCCGAATTTTTAAATGATAAATCCCTAAATTCATAGTCTGATTATTGACATTGGACGTTATTGATGTTATTCATATTACGATATTATTTTGACATCTAATTACCATTAAAATTGATCCATATAACGTAACTATCACCGCGTTTAAATTCTGACCGACTTATTAAATCCATGTGTGCACGCCAATGTAATATCATTGAGAAATGAGACATGTTACACCTGGTTTAGTCTGTCGAAGTGCATGCGAGTGAATGTATAATATACCTTTAATATAGGGGTTAAAGTATGAAATTGCCGTTTTATTGCAATAGGTTCTTTGAATTTTCATAGAATCTTCATGGTTTGAGGTTTTCGAATGAAACTTTTTTCAAATGGTTTCTGTGTTTTTTATTTTTTTTTAAATTTGAAACATTTGAATATCGACTTTCAATTGTTTTTGTTATTCAATTTAGACAAGAAAGATGGATACTGCGAAAATTCGAGTGATTTTTGAATACGAGTTCCGACGCGGAACTAACGCGGCAGAAACAGCCCGCAATATCAATGCTGCGTTTGGAGAGGGGTCTACTAATGAACGCACCGTGCGATTTTGGTTTAAACGCTTTCGTGATGGAAATTTCGACTTAAAGAACGAGTCACGAGGAAGACCGCCCACACAGGTGAATAACGATGAATTAAGAGAGATAGTGGAAGCCGATCCTAGTCAAACTACCCAGGAATTAGCGGCATGGTTTAACGTTACCTTACCCACAATATTGACTCACTTGCGTCAAATCAATAAAATAAAAAAATACGAAAAATGGGTGCCTCATGATTTGACTGATCTGCAGAAAGAAACGCGTGTTGAAACTTGTGTTGCTTTGTTGAACCGGTACAGAAATGAAGGAATATTGGATCGAATTGTAACATGTGATGAAAAGTGGATTCTTTATGATAACCGGAAAAGAAAAATGCAATGGCTGACCCCAGGTCAAATGCCACAACAGTGTCCTAAAGCAAAACTTACCAATAAAAAGGTAATGGTAACTGTTTGGTGGTCTCAGCATGGTGTTATTCACTATAGTTTTCTCCGATCTGGTCAAGCAATAACGGCAGATGTCTATTGTGCCGAACTCCGAACCATGTTGACAAAACTAGCAGTAAAACAGCCCCGACTCATGAATCGATCTTCACCATTATTGCTCCACGACAACGCGAGACCTCACACAGCACGAGAAACTATTTTGACCCTTCAGGAACTGCAGTTAGAAACCATTCGTCATCCTCCGTATTCACCAGACCTTGCTCCAACGGACTACCATTTTTTTCGTGATTTGGACAATTATCTACGTGACAAGAAGTTTTCTTCCCAGGAGGCAGTACAAAATGCTTTCACACAGTTTGTGCAGTCTAGATCGTCGGAGTTCTATCGCAAAGGCATTAATAACCTTCCCATTAGATGGCAGCAATCTATAGATAATAATGGCAACTATTTTGATTAAATAAATTTGTTAAAAATTTAAAAAATAAACAATTTAGATTTTCAGTACAAATCGGCAATTTCATACTTTAACCCCTATTATTTGTATGGCTATTTTTTGGCCCGATACAGTGAAACTATAGTTATTTTGTTCATGTCAGCTTCACAACAAATAAATGAATTATTATTGTTTTTTAGCATTCTAAAGCAATTTTTGTAAAAACATCCTAATTTCAAAAATGGACCTTTCACCTACACACTACTTTGACTTTTTAGGTACAATGCCGTTCATAGTGTAATGTCTATAACTTTAATATTGAATCTTCATCATCTTCATTGAATCAAGAACAGTGCCATTGGTAGAGTCTTTAGTAGTCAATAACGAAAACGTGTTCCAGGACACAATGGCGAAAAGGAACACAGTAATAGGAACGCCGTTCTGGATGGCGCCGGAGGTGATCCAGGAGATCGGCTACGACTGCGTAGCGGACATCTGGTCACTCGGCATCACGGCACTCGAGATGGCCGAGGGAAAACCGCCCTACGGTGATATTCATCCCATGAGGGCCATTTTTATGATCCCAACTAAGCCACCGCCTTCGTTTAGGTGAGTTCTAAACATCGATATTGCATTCTTAAAAAACGTTAATTAAGTAATATCGATCTAAAAAGTAAATGGGCATATTTTTTATCCATTTATTTAATCCAGGCATCATGACCCATATTACGATATGACGTGTAACTCAACTTGGGTGTCTGGTAACCGGCCTCGGAAACGGCGATATATGGACACCCAGTAATAAAGCCGTGACACGTATAACAACGTCGTCGGTACCGCTGCACGCAATATGATTAGGGCCAGTCGGGGTTACGGCTGGTGTACTTGTTTTTCCGTTCCACCTTTTGAAACCGTCTCGGCGGTTACTGAACTGACGACACAGCTCCAGAGAGCGGGAATGGGACAACGGTTGGATTCCAATTGATGACTCGATTTGTTATTGCGGCATGTATAGTCAACAACACAAGTATACACTTTTGTTCGATCATTGTCTCGAAAGTAATAGAACTAGATCTGCCAAGGTGTAGCTGGATATGGTGCAGTATGTACCTATGGCTTTAATTACTCAGTTAGACTCATTTGTGAACGTTCAGTAGCAATATCTCTTGCTAACGATGAAGGAACATGTCGCGATGAAACGTTCACGCCAAAATGGTTGCCCTTGGAAAACGTGTGAAGTCCTCAACTCGCCATGACTTTAGAGGAGATCCGTGGCTTGTCGTGGAACGTATAATGGATAGATAGATAAAACGTTTATTGTCTTGCATCACACACAACAATATATACAGTAAATAGTTTCAATGAATTTTCCAAGCAGGTTGATATTGACCTTTTTAACTCTAGTGTTGCATCGGTGAAGCGTCTTATTAGTAGTTTGTTTTTTGGCGAGTAGGTGTTACCTAAGTGTTGCGAAAATGTATATAGTATAAGTTAGTCGTTATAATTTATGCTCATTTACTTAATGTGTGTCTTTCGGTGAGGACCTATACTTGGCAATCCATTAGTGTTTCAGTTTTTACTCTGTAAGAAAGCCGTTGGTCTTCCAATAAGTTAAAATAAAATAAAAATAAATGGATTAAAAGAGGAACACAGAAATCAAAATCAAAGAAAATATAATAAGAAACAAACAAAACAAAGAAATTAAATTTTAAAAATACATGAAAACAAAATACTGACCTAACGATCAACTAGGTCGAATCAAATAGGTCGTGGCACACCACTGATTTTCAGCCACCGCCTTCGAGGGTAGCGCGATGCGGCGCATCAAACGCAAAAACATTCTGAAGTGAATTTAGTGTATATTGTTATTAAAATATTAGTAATAATCCGTAATTTAACCATTCAGTCCTTGCAAACTTAAAAATGATAATAAATGCCTATGATATAAAGAGACTTCATTTTAGAAGCCTTCGCTATATAAAGCGTTTACGAATACCTAGTTTTTGCCACTCAAAGATAAGTTCCGTCAAATGTTTAAAAAAAATTATGGGTTTTCTATATTTCGAGAAAAAGTCGTCGTTGCTCTTCTGAGAATATTGCCTATACACTTTATAGAAACTTTGCGTGACTCCGCAGTGAGACAGTTTGCTCTTTCTTCTTACTGTATCAATGGCACGTACTGGAATATTCAGGAAAGGAACGGTACTTCGTATGGGGAGGCTCCTTTTGTGGACGTCATTTGTTTGTTAAGAATGGGTTATGTCTGTCGTTGCAGGGAACCAGATCAATGGTCACCAGAGTTCATAGACTTCGTAAGCCAATGCCTAATCAAAATACCTGAGGAGAGAGCGACAGCAGAGTTTTTATTAACACACGAGTTTATAGGTATGTCAATTCAAAACTACATTATCTAGTTGTTACTTCGAAAGTAAAAAAATTGAAGTTCAAAATATCTTTATTTCATAGATAAAATTTATTTAAAAAACCATAGACACAGCTGGAAAGAGGATCACTAACATGAATTGTTGTCATCGAAGTACGCAAGAGCTCGATAAATAAACCTTTAGTATAAAGTTTTTGCTTCACTGTTCACTTCAATTTTAAACCTCGACAAATTTTGAATGTTAAGGAGAAGATTTTAACAAACTAGTGGAGTAAATTCACAAAAAATGTTTAATAATCGCGGTAGTAAAACATCGTGGTATTCAATAAACCGTAACGTTATATTTATTAAAGCAACATCTCTAGTCACAGGTGACTATATGGTACTGTAAACTGGTACCTGTAAAGGTATCTGGCTCAGTGAAGAAAAACTTTCATAGATATCGCACAGATGGCGCTACGGCAAAAACTCGTTACTATGACTATCCTCGAAAGAAAATCGACTTGCTCGTAGGTTTATTTAACGTATAGTCTTACTTATATTTCATTCCGGAATCCGGAAATGTGTTTGCAGGTAATGCAAAACATCCGAGTATATTAAGCACAATGATCGCCGAGGCGAGGGAGATCCGGGAGAGCCGAGCGTACCGCAACGCTCAGCAGAACTGCAACAACGCCAAGACCTTTGCGGCGGTAAGTCTTTATAACGTTTCGCCCTAGCCGGTAATATGTAGGAACAGTGAGTGTAGGAAGCAAAAGGAGGAAATATGGTCGTGTCTTGAGTTCTGTACTTGATCTTGGCTTGCCCTACCGTCAGCGGGCGTGGGAATAAAAGTACCTTTGTTGTTCATTTATTGATTAAGTAGCACTAGAGCTCCTTGTGAAAGAGTTCGTCCAGGGAAGTACTGCCACCGTTCCTATTTCTGCCGCCAAGCAGTAATGTCAGCATCACTGAATTCCAGTTTTGAAGGGTAAGAACGCTGGTGAAATTACTGGCACATGAGACAGTGGCAGTGGCAGACCTTTGCGATTTAAAGCTCTAAGGGTCATATTCCAGAACTCTACTCAATACTCAAGTCAGAATTTGAGTATTGCAGTGAGCACTGAAAATCATACTCAAGTTCCTTGCCATTAGGGTCGTATTTCCAGTGCTTCAAATCAACTCAAGTCTGCTCAAATCCTAACTTGAACATTAAGTAGAGTTCTGGAATACGACCCTAAGTGGCGCTGTAACTGCTTTGGATAGGCGTGTCGCTTGTCGTCCCGGCACACGGTATTATAAAAAAAAAGAAAAAAGTTAAATTACGAAATTAAGCTTTGGATTTAATAAAAGGAAAAAAATCAGCATTATTGAACTATATTTTGAAAAAATGGTTGAATTGTAATAAAGCATGATATCTGTTTACTTGAGGTAAACAGACATGATCCCATGACAATGAGAAGCTGCATTGTGTGGTTGTGCGCAGGGCGACGGCTACGACGAGGCCACGATGAAGAAGTGCGACGACGGCACGCTGGTGCCGCAGCGCGACGGCACGGCCGAGCTGGCCGCCGACCTCGGCACCATGGTCATCAACGAGCCCGACGGGGACCTGGCCACCATGAAGCGTACGGCTGCATAACTTCCCTGGCTGCGAGATCTTGGCAGGATAGCAACGGGCAACGCCCAACGCTCATTTCCGAGATCGAGTTGGCTTCTTTGCGAAGTTCAGAGTCGAAACACAAAACTGCAATGCAACGGCGATGTTAATCTTCGTTGTTTTTTCCTATATTTTCTTATCAATATCAGCAGTGCAACACTCTTTTTTACAATGTCGCTACATAGTTTAAAAAATACGTTCAGTACGGTTGACGATCGTCAAAGAAATGGTCACCCGAACGAACGAGATCGCATTTAGCGATTTGCTTCGCAGTTTTCTACGTTGAAAATTCGCAGTTTTGTGTGTCGACACTCAATTTGAGAGAAAACGAGTCGTATATTTATGTCATGCGTTTGGAGCTTTTTTTTCATGAATCTGTTCACTTTTTTGGCGCCGCTACCATCCAATAATACGTCACTTTTCCATAGTAATAATAATATGTAGTCCCACTGCTGGACTAAGTGCTTCACGATGTGAGAATTTAGGTTGTAGTTCCCACGCGGACGCGATGCGAATTGAAAACTTCCCATACATCATTAAATTGCTCTGCACATGTTTGCAAGTTTCCTCACAATGTTTTCCTTCAGCGAAAAACTCACAGTAAACTTAAATTTCGCACATAAATCCCTAAAAACTCACGAGGCACAAGCTCAGATTTGAACCCACAACCTTGAGAGGCGGTAGGTACTATAAGCTTGGACGTAGCTCGTGTTGCGTAGCGAGAGGTACTTTTATAAATATAAACTGGGATAATCTTCAAAACTTGGTTTATTGTACTTTTTACATATTGTCTTATTGAGGTTACATCTCGAACGTTCTATTCTTTCTTCTCTATTTCAAAACACATTCGAAATATAAAACTATATTCACTCAGCCAGTAATTTTATCATAGAGTAGAGCCTAGACTACAGTACCAACCATTAGACTACCATGTGATTCACTCCTGTTACATACTCTAAGAGACGTTTCAGACGATACCTTGCTACCAACAATACATACCAAATATTATAGCACTTTTTTTTACTAACCACGATATATGCTTTGACAGGTCATGATACAGATCCAATGGACACAAACAGGCCGAAGTATAGGCCGTTATTCCTGGAGCATTTCGAGAAGAAGGAGGTGAACCATCTCAATATCGGTGCTAGCAACGGAACACTTACCAGCAATATTCGCCTGCCCACAGACGACAATGTTCGGTAAGTAATATGTGAAAGCGAAAAAATAGACCACAAATTGTTTATGTAAACACTAAAGAAACAACACTGGTGCCATCATCGAGTTTTCCGGTTGTATGCTTGATGGGTGCCCCAAACAAATTAATATACAAAAGTAGGTATTCATAAAAAATAAAAAAAACTTTGGTCTATCATAGATTTCTATTGAATATCATGATGATGTTAATTTTATTTTTTGTGAAATTACTCCGTTGGATTGTTAATATTAATACAAAGATCGAACACAAAGAAAAGTTCCTTCGATATGTGCTACAGATTGTGTCAGAAGATCTAGCAAATTTCTCTAAGAGCGTAAATGCTCATACGCGCTAAGCGTTCGTTAAAGATCTTTTGTCTCGGGTTGTTTCGGCTTTTATCGCCGTAAGCGACACCTGTGAGATATCTATGAAGCTTCTCACTTAGCCGGCACCTTTACAGCTACTAGATTCCCACGTGAGATGTCGTATTAATTTTAACACTGATTTTTATTGAATATCATGATGATAGTAATTTTATTTATATGGTGGTTATGTGACATATTACAAAGATGGAACACATAGAAAATAATCCTTCGATCTGACTGGATTCGAACCAACGTCTTCCAGCAAATCGTGCCAGACGCTACACGAACTAATCCACGGAACCAACTAATGCACCTTACGAATTTTAGTATATGCTTGTTGCAGATATTTGTGAGAAATCTATTTCTTCACTCCGCTATTTATATTTCTTCACATATTACTGTTGTTAAATATCGTGTTGAACAGAGAGGAGAGCGAAGCAGAGCCCGGTTCGAACCCCGCGCTGGGCCTGCAGAGGGCGTTCGTGGAGGAGGGCAACTTCGAATTCGTAAGTCAACTGCACGTCGTCACGTTGCTAGAGATCTCTGTGCCACACGACAACGCGCGTAAGTCCCTCCCGCCAGAGGCCCGAGGCCCGCGGCGGGTGCACGTCCGTTTGGCAGCCTCGATCATCCAAATAATAACGGTTTTATTTTATTAGGAACAACAACAGCTTAACAATTATACTCCGTAAAATTTTGCTTGACAATAGTAACATTAATCGACCTTCGGCTAAGGTGTCTAATTGGCCATACTGCCAGATTTTAGATTTAATTTTTCTTAAAAAAAAATAATTTTCTCACATTTTTTCGTGCCTTTATGATGAATTTTGAAACTCAATTTAGCTTGATTAGAATTATACAATATGTCAAATTGTTTTTTATTGTTCATTTATTGAGCATTGGCTGTAGAGTCATCAGCTCAAAAGGTCACAAATAATTAATTAACTCAATACGTAATACGTCCTTAAACTAAAAATTAATTCGCGTAAAAACTATAACTACTAAAACCCACCATTTTTTTCTGTTTTTTTTTTTAGTTAATGTGATGAGACATGATCAGTAACATCGAGAATCGATGTTAAAATATGTCGACTGAACTATTGACATATATACGTTTATCAGGCTTGTTATGTCTTTGTAAAAACTGAAATCATCTAGGGTCTGTGATACCACTATTTGTAAATTTTCATTTTAATTGCCATAGCGAGTAACCGACCGTACTAAAATAATAGTATAGTATTTTAAAAAAATACCCAAAAGTTACCGAAAATAATACGTCTCAAAATAACACCATCATTTACAACAAATTAAAATCATTGAAGTAAATTAAAAAAATTACCATCAAAAGTTGATCGACTCTGTATTTTCAACCTGTTCCATCACAAACTTTTTTCCGTCAGACGTATCTTCATTGTGTGAAGTTGTAAAGATGTTGGAATATGAATGTAATGTAATTAATTCTAAAAGTGATTTATCCTTGATTTGTGGTTTTGAATGATCGTATGGCAATATGTGGTAACGTAAATTTGTCGTGTTAATAAAATACATACGTCGTGTTTGTAAACTATATGACCTTGGTACGAAATTATATCTTGCCTATACTTTGCCGACCGGCCACTCTAATCAAGCAAAATTTTATTGAGTATGTTGTTTCCAACACGATCACTTACAGTTAGCTAGCACCACAGTCGGTTCTCCATATTTTCACACGAATTGACAAAATTACCATAACCAGTAGGTATCCATTAAACATCATCACCGCCAACCCATTGTACGTCCAACTGCTGGGCACGGGTTTAGGCTATATTCCGTAATGCGGGTTGGACACTGCACGTTTGCCGAGACTGGTGAAACTTTATCAACATGCAGGTTTCATCACGATTACCTTCACCATTTGCGAAAGATATTGCTATATATTAAAAAAGCTATATGTACACGCCGTCACATGGAACAAATCCCCATATCTCTCGATCGAATGAGGAATCTCTAGTTCTCAAACAAATTAACATTAAAACAAATCATTGTTATATCATATAACTCATATGAGTTAGTCTGACAGTTGATTGACTCTCTTTAAAAAAAGAATCATAGTTTTTATATAAGTGGAGTTCAGTTTTTATCTCCGATTTATAATTACTTAATGCATTTCTGGATAAGGATAGTGACTAATTACTCCGTCCAGCCATTTATTTAACTTTTGACAGCTCGCATTCTAATCAATATGAAGAAGTTTTAATCGTGAATGTAAGCGGGTTCAAAAAAGAAGGTATTCTCTGATTGGGATCGTGATGTTGCGTTTGACAATTTGTGTACCCAAGAATTAATAATTAATGTTAATGAGGGTTCAAGTGATGATTCCCGTTCATATGGAGAAGAATCCGACGATTCATCATAATAATATTTATTATAATTATTGATAATGTAGGAAATGAAACTATTTTTCCGGATTTAAATCGCGTATATTTGTTTTTTCAAACAAACCGACGTTTCGGGCCCTTTACAGGTCCCATGGTGACGGTTGACTGAGGTGGTACAGTCATCGACCAGTTATGTCTAATATTGATGCCAACCACCCTATTTTTTCACTATAGTTACAACTGGTGGTACGGAGAAACCATCTTCTCTGTTGAAATTAGGATGTTTTTTAATTTCAATGGCCTCTAGCAGCATCTTGGGTAGATAACGGACTTCTTTTGCAAGGACCTGGGGTTTGTCAAACTTCATTGAATGTGTAGGTTTATCCATGACATGCTCACAGACTGCAGACTTGTTCTTTTGTTTGTGTTGTTGTTGTGTCGGTTTGTTTGAAAGAACAAATATACGCGATTTAAATCCGGAAAAATAGTTTCATTTCCTATATGTAACAATCGCGAGAACCTAAGAACTCGGTATTTATAATTTATTTAATTTCATTGTAATTTATTAGACAGGTACCAAAATATATTAACTTGAATAATCTTCATTACATATTTTGTAGACTCTATAAATATCAGACCTAAAGAGCACGTCGCTTCACTAAAATAAAAAAAAAAAAGTATTATATTTTTTTTGTCTGTGGTTGTTTGTCAATAATTACAAAACTTCGGAGGCATACATATGTCAAAAGTTACATAAATGGTTGAACGGAGTACAGACGTGATAATCACACATTATACGCCATTTTTGTTAGTTTTTTCACGTATAAAACATTTTTTTTGTTTGATTCTGGCTAAAAGCATGATTTTTAGATTCTTTTGTAAATAAATGAGCTTTTGACTTTATATATAATATATTAAGGACTTACGCACGGGTTGTTTTAGTTTAAAACAAAGGACAATACAGGGTTATTTGAATTAGTAACAAGCCTCCGTGGATTACATTGCTATCATCACAAAAAAACAAACAATTTTTTTGTAACTTTTAATAATTTTTCGTACTAAAATAACAATAAAAAAATCAAATCGATCGCTATAATATCACAAATTTTTGAGGTATCAAAAGAAAGCACTCACCGCCAAAATTATTGTTTTTATGAATGATAGATGCGGGTGGTGTCTCCAAAAATATTTTACGAACGAGTTTAAAAGTTTGTTTTTGGTAAATTTATTGTTTTGTAAAAAGTCATGGAACAAAAGTTGTTGTTTATGATGTCAGTAACGTAGTCCTGGGAGGTTGTTAGAATTTTACAAATAACTGTGTATATACATTTACACGTAATGAATTTGGGTTGCCTATAAAATTGTAGTTGTTTATGAATTTAGTATAATTTGATACTTTTGGGAAGACAGGGCGTAAAAGCCAAACTACAAGTTTAGTATAGAAGATCATCATCGATCATCTCTGAAAATGAAAAATTTACAAACGTTGCGGTTCACAAGTAGTTCATGAATAAGTTATTTTCGATAAAATTGGCTTAAATTTCCTTTTTCCTTTGAAATATCGAGTATGGGAAATTTTATAATATTTGGTCGAGGTCATCACAGCTGAAAATAAGGGATAGTTAGGCATTAGTCCCCCAGTCAGTGTTGAAAGGCAACACTGGACGTACGTGAAGGCTAAGTCACGTACGCCAACCGAAAGCGCGCTTCGAGCGTTCGGCGCTTAGACGGTGCCTCCGCAGCTGCGCGGGCTGCCGGCGGGCGAGCTGGAGGCGCGCGTGGCGCGCCTGGACGCCGAGATGGAGGCCGAGATCGACGAGCTGCGCGCGCGCTACGCCAAGAAGCGCCAGCCCATCCTCGACGCCATGCACCTCAAGCGCACGCGCCAGCAGAACTTCTAGCGCCGCCAAGGCGCCAGCAGCACCGGAACACGCGCTAAGGTCCGTGCTACAACTCGTTTCTTGTTTTCGGCGAGAAGCCGATGTTTCTTACGCTGGACTTCGATTCGTTGCAATTGTATAACGCTCTTGGCTATCATTTATTAATATGTCAACATTTTGACAGCTGGCAAGTAATGCCTATGACAACGGTTTATTAGTACCGACCTTAGTGTGTTGTCGATTAACAGCGAAAATATTTTTTTGTTTCATGTGATATTCTTTTTCCGTTCACCAATTCAAAACCTTCAATTATCGCAGGATAGTGCTTTAGCTTGTTCTAAGTTTTCATAAGTCGTCACGTGACAATACTTGAACAAAAGCAGTGCTACAAAATAATAATTATGCATTTAAACTTTTGCTATAGAATAGGGTTACCATAAAAATTTACTTCAATTTATACATTTCAGCTTGTACAAAATTGAGGAAACCCGCTAAATTATGACAATATGTAGATAAACCATAGAGTTGTAGTTAGCTGAGCGTAATGTAATTTTTACATTGTTTAATTTATTATTTCATCGATCAAACTGATTTTGTTATTTTACCTAATTCGATTTAAAAATTTCACGTTCTATATTCTGACATAAATAAGTCATTAAATTGTAAGTTACATTCATTTCAAATTAAACGGACGTTTGGGCTAGTGACAGTTTTGTTGAGTATCGTAAAAATAATTTATAAAAATTTGGCGATCGTGGCCAACGCGAAGTTTGGTCTGTCTTTTTTGAAGATAGAGTAAAATGACAGTTCATTGCGGTTCAAATCGACTGAATGTTGAATACGCTTATGCAATAAATAGACGAATTTGTTTCATTTCAATCATCATCAGCTCATTGTTTCTTCAACTGCTGGCCACAGGTTCTATAAATCTTTGTAAGTTCATACATACATATGTATACTACATTTGGAACTACATCTATTAAAAATACAAAGTGCAGGCATATTGAGTTCTTAGGTTTTCGCGATTGTTACACATAGGAATGAAACTATTTTTCCGTATTTAAATCGCGTATATTTGTTTTTTCAAACAAACCGACGTTTCGGGCCCTTTACAGGTCCCATGGTCACGGTTGACTCAACCGAAACAAATATACGCGATTTAAATCCGGAAAAATAGTTTCATTCCTATGCAGGCATATTTTAAAGTTATCAATTTCTTTTCAATATAAAATCAAATGTGCGTATATTTGTCAAAATGTATATGAATTAAAATTTATTTCATTACTTGTAAGCCAACTCTCAAAATAAGAATGAAAAACGCAATAAACCCAATTAGTTACCATGAGGACGTCGTAACATTCACACATTCTGACATTTTTGGCAAATTTTTACCTTGTTTCACACTCTATCGATAAAAATGTCGACAACAACTACATGACTATTTAAAATGTTATTAAAACTGGTAACCCTGCAAATGTCATTTAACTCCATCAGGGTTTCGCTCTGGACCTTTTGGAGGGAAAAGTGTCGTTTTTATTTTGACTTTCAATTATTTTGTGAAATCTAGTTTAAAGTGGAATAGGTGCCTTAATCGAAGATTAAAACGCGAAATTATATGAATCTCGAACTAGAATATCCGTATCGGCCCGTTTTAGGGAATCCCGAGTCAATCCAAACACGCCGTCTCAAATTGCCTATCCTCTTCGTGGCGGCCATATTTACAGAAACAAACTTCATGTTTAGGCTGATGGCTTTGCCAAAGCCTTAATAAATAATAAATAAAAAATTAACTCCATCATAAAAAAGACAGACTATAGTCTCTGTAAGTTATTATTATAATGACTAGTGATATAATTATATATAGTCTATTACTACAGTGCACTGACGTTGGTGACGGTCGCCATAATTTTTATATTATATTCAGTCTTAATAAACTCTTCTTTCTGTCTGTAATCTATCTTTATTAAAATTGAACCTCACGTCGTTCATACAAAGTTCTAAGTTAAAACATCAAATCGCGCTAGTAATTACACTTACTCAAGAAGGTAAATTGTTCAAAGAGTTATTATTTGCCATTGCGAATGTGTTGAAAAACGTACTAAGAAGTCAGTTTGATCGTAACGTTAGTTTGACTAATTAATAGCGAGCGTTGTATTGCAGATCTTTTGTGGCAACATTCCATCCGTTATTCTATATGATTGGAAAATTGGTCATAAGGGATTTGCAAATGAAGATAGTGTCATATTATAGCCATATTGCTTTTTAATGTGATTCTTTTATATTCCCCGCGAATTACGAAATGACCAATTTGTTTTCTTTCAATTTCGTAAATGGTAGGGAAATGAAAGAATTATTAGTGTGAATATTAAAGGTTTACAAGTTATATTGGACCCTAAAACGTTGGTGCTAGTGTTGAATTTTGCCATCAATGTTCTTGTAGTCAGTAGGATAATTTATTCCTTTAAAATTTCGCTAAATATGATTAGGATCCAAGCGTAACTTATTAAGCCTTTAAGTTCTATAAATGAAGTCGCAATAATTTAGTTCCTTATTATTTAGATCTCAGTTATATCTCGCTTTGTATAATAGCTTCTAGAATATTCGAAAATGTATGTGTACAGTTAGTTCAAGTAACGTTTGTGTAGAGGTTGTGAGAATGAATTTAACTTAACCCATTCAGTGATACCTTTACTTAATTGAAGCAATAATGATATTTTTCTTATAGAAATTACATATTTATGATTTGATGGTTTCTCATATGTTTGGGACTGTACAGATTTATGGAGGACCATGTTTGATGTTTGAACTAAATGTCTAATGGTTTGCCAATATTATATCTTGTCCTATATAACATCAAAGCATTGCCGTTTTTCAACAATAGTGTCTTAAACCGAGTTAGGACGTTAACAGCTGTATTCATAATGACAACGACTTTTTATTGATTAAAATAACGAGACAATACTGGCCTCAGTTTTTTGAACTAGCTTAGGTGTTTTTAAGATAGTATGCTAGTCTTGAAAGCCATAGAATTAAAAAAAAAAAAATGACAGCGCCATGAACATGCGCGATAATAAGGATCAATGGTAACAGTTTTAGGCTATGATGATAAGGTCGAGTTTCCAATGTATATTAATAGTGTATAGTAATAGTGGACATGTAACTATCACTATCATAGCTCGACTTGAAACGGAAAAGTTGATTTGTTTGAAATAAATTCAATTCCAACCAAAATCTCTATGCATGCATTGTAAGCGTCTACAAAGGTTACCTTTTTACATCGAGTATATAATCAGAAATAGAGACGAAATAAGGGCCATATAACCTCCTGGTACCACATTAGCGATGCAGCTCTTATAAATATAAACTCTCGTTTGCACTGATATATAGATAGGCCAACTACTGACCTGTGTGTACGTCTCCGTATATTCCAAAAATATTCTGTATTTATTGTAATACAGATAATATCTCTAACAATGCCGTGCTCTTCTATTCGGTATCATATTTCATCGGTAATTAAATATTAAATATGTAATTTTGCAATTTTCGTCCATTATAGCAAAGCTCAAGTTAACTGGTCGATTTGAAGTGAAACAGTTGACGACACCCATTGACGACACCCGTCAATTGTTTCGTACTCTGGCTAGCCAACCGGAGCGCAGTTGTCACCGTAATGATATGGCAGAATAGTTTTCAAACAAATTAAATGACATTTCCTCTCTATTTCTGGTTATATATATACTCGATGCCTTTTTACGTCCCTGTATGAAACTATCTTAAACAAGTTGTTTACCAAACTTGAAAATGGATTACAAGTAAAAAACAAATGACGTTTACTTAAACACCAATTAGTGACGTGACGTCACTAACGTTTACAACTTTATTATGTGATTGTAAAACATTTTTCCGATTATTTATTCCAATGAACCGAATAAAGAGTATTTTGATAGCCATAAGTATAATGAATATTTGTATAGACGCAAGTTCTATCTATCACTTCAAAGTATAAATTTTACGAATCGATTAGAAGTGCCATTACATTTAATATTCATAGTATTTTCGTACTTTTGATCAATAGTTTGTATGAAATTAGATTTATCTTAAATCCATTTCAATTAGACGAAGGTTAAATACCAGCAAGTTTAGTGCCATTGTAAGAATTGATCCCGAGATTTACAGCAGTTCGGAGTGACTAATACACTTGTACCATTAGAGCGTTTGCGAATTCCGTCATCCGATTCAATTCGTATCATTATTTTCACGGACCGAAGTATTGTTTGTATTAACGCTTGCTGTACCCGATCCGAGACCGAACGCGGTGGTGACGTCTGCGCGGACGGATGATGGGAAATAGCAAGTATCGACATATAAAAGGAAATTAAAAGTGGACACACCCGTTCGGTAATAACTTACAAAACTTAAAAAAATAAATTTCTTGCTGTCTTGTAGAAGTTCATCGTAATTATTGTTTGTCTGAAAAATTAGTTCAACAGCTGAAGGTGTACTCAAAACTTTTTATATTTTTATATCTTCGTGTGTATTAGCAGTGACAAAAGTTGAGGGAGATTGGAAGGACAAATGTTAGTAGTAATCTCTAAGTGTACAAGCGATATTTGTATTTTCTCGGATGCGTATCGGACTAGTGCACAAGAGACATCCGAAGTTGGTCCATGTTTTCAAGACCTGTGTAGGATATCCGAGAAGGATTCGGAACGGAAACGAATCGGACGCACCGGGCAAACGCTCTTCTTATAAAGCGACATATGATGATATGTCAAAAGTGCTTCTGTCAAATGAAAGCCTTAAAAATAATATGAACTTTATGAAAGAAATTAGGTGAAACTTTATAACTGTTTTATTTAAATATAAACAGTTATCGACTAATTTCATTCGTAGAATCTTTAGACCTCCCCTGAAAAGTTCATTTTGCAGATGTGACCTTATTACACCAAGATGCGTTATACAAAATTAAGATAGTTATAATATTTGACCAACTTCGGCTGTCCCGATTTTTCTCATCCCATACAATAAAATGATCCCTTCATGAATCTGAGTCGATTTCCACTAAAAAAATTTGATCAATTTATTAATTTTATGGATAACTCACGCTTGACCAAAAAAAACTGACTATACCAAGATTGTTTTCACATAAAAAGACTTAATGGTTCCTACGGCAGTTACCTTGTATCTTCTATGGTTTCGGATGTCCCCATACTGTCCCATTAAAAAAACACTGTATACCTTGCATTATATAGGAGCATATTTAAAAAAAATCTACATAATCAACCCCTTTATACGTCACCTATGAGGTGAAGTACTTAACCCATATGACCTAAGACCTTTGTCTTAGGTCATATGGGTTAAGTACTTCACACGTTAGTTCAAGGGTTGTTTCAATCTTCTTCGACTTCCACCCAATGGTGGAAGGTGGCGAGAGATTTTGCTGCTAGACCTTCCCAAATGTACGTAACATAGAAATTGAAGTCATGTTTCCTCGTTCTCTCTATTGCTTAACAAATGTCCTCGTATGCATCATTCATCTACAATAATCATTCTAAATTCAACTGCCATCTGTACGCCTATATTTCAGAAAAAGCTTATTTGTTTGAAAACATTTCCCATAATTATTATCTCATGACGTTGCTGAACGAGAGCACATACGTCTCCCGAGAAGTGTGGCTACAGAGCAAGGGTCTTGAGCATTCAAAAGCCCTGATACTTGCCTACAGTGCCAAAAACTGTAGAAAAGCTCTGTCATTGGACATGAATGGCATCAGAATGCTCGCTAGAGTTTTAACAGGATATTGTGGCTTGAACAAGCATTTGTCAAATATTGGGCAGAGAGAGAATAGAGAGTGTAAATTCGGCCACGAGGCGGATGAAACTTCTGTGCATCTTCTCACCAAATGCTACCCCTTGATAGGCGTAGAAACCCATACTGGGAAGGCACAAGCCACAACCAGAGAACATAAAATCTGTCGGAGCCAGGAAAGTCCTTCAGTCCTTCAATGCTTCAGATCTGTCTATA